GCGCTGCAAAGCGGCCTCCCCTCGCCCGAGCCCCGCCGGGTGTCAGGAGCCAGGGGGTGGGGCGCCCCCTGAGGTCACCGCCGTGGTCCCCTCCCATCAGTGCGCCGCCGCCGCCGCGCTCCTTACGATCCCAGAGGAGATGCGGCCTCGCACGAATCAAGGCTCGTCCCTGTGCGGGTCGGGCGCGGCCTGGGACCCGAGCCCGCCCAGCCTTACTGCGCTCCCATTTCCCCCGGGAATAACCCCCTTCGCGCTGTTCCTACCGCCTCCACTCCGGCCGCAGAGGGCGCTGCTCCCCTCCGAAGCCCCTGCTCTCCCCGCCTCAAGACCCGTGGGTCGCGAAGCCAGGGAACAAATGCTCTTCCGCGCAGGCTGTGTGCCCAGCTCTGCGCTGGTGCGGAGATCGCCAGGCCATACTTTCCAGGAACGTCTAGGACGAGGGTCGGGGCCTGGGCGGGGGCAAGGTTAGGGATGTGAATAAAGAACGGTGGTGTACGCCCATAAAGACAAAGTGAGGGCCACCCAAGAGGCTCCTGCCGCCGTCCTGGTCCCCATCCCCACCCCTGTGTCCCACCCTCTGTCATCACCTTGTTGCCCTCTGCTGGACTGACCACTTCGCCTCGCCACCAAGGAGTCAATACCAAGGCTCCTTGTCTCCAAACATCACCTCCCCTGCGCCAATCAGGATTCCTTCCAAGGCTGGGGTCACCTTGGCAGTGAGAGATTCAGATATGGTCCAAAAGGGTCTTCCAGCCGAACCCCCACAGCAACTGGCTGTCTTCATTCCCCACCCGGGCTCCAGAGGCAAATCTGCCTGCGGCCCTGGGCTGGATATGGGGAGTACAGTCCCCAGCCCCCAGTTAGTCACTGCTAGAATTGGGTTGGGGGTGGTGTGTGGATGGAAGACTTCCTGGAAGAAGTGAGCTTTGAAGAAGGCCAGGTTCAGGGGCTGGGGGCATGGCAGAAGGAACTCAGAAGCACAGGCAGTGCCCTTTCTCTCAGATGTGTACATGCAGCAGCCTGGGGGCCCAATGTCCTGGCTTCACTGCTCCACCCCAGTGTCCAGGCCTCAGGAGCAATTGCGGGACCCCTAAAGGGATGGGCCTGGCTCTGCCTACTCCAAGCGCCTATCCCTACCTGAGCCCCTCCCTAGGCTGGGAGAGGGGCAGGACACAAGCCAGGCACCACCACACAGTGACCCCACCACCACCAAATAAGGGAACCCGAGCTGTGTTCAGAGCCTCCCAGTTGCATTCTTTCTGTGGGTGGGCAGCAGGTACTGCCTGTGGAGGCAGGGGACTTCACTGAGGGTAGGCCTCCTCCTCTTTGCTCCGGCTCAGGGAGTACAGGAGACTCCAAGAAGGAAGAGGAGTCCCCCGCCCCGTTCCGGGGGTCCAGGGCTCCATCCCCACCCATGCCCACTGCCCCACAATCCAAGGAGGCCCTGGGCACCTCTCCCACACTCAGTCAAGCGGTAAGCAAGGCAGACACACCCTCAGGGGTTCCCGGTCCAGAGTGGGCAGGGAACCTAGACAAGTAAGGCAGAATGACAAACTAAGAGTGAGTGAGGCATGCGGAGGCAAACCCGGGAGGAGGTCTGCTAAGACCCAGGGGGCAGGCCAGAGTCAGCCAGGTGGCGAGCTGGGAACAGCACATGCAAAGGCACTGGGGCTGAGGGAGCCTGACCCCAGCGAGGGCCTGTGGGAAGGACAGGTGGCCAAGGCAGAGAGGGTGAGGGGCTTAGGTGAGGCTGGAGGTGGTGGTCAGTGCTGCTGCACTGGGCCTGCCTGACTAAAGTCTTCCTACTAAGACTGCCGGGAAGTTACAGAAAGCAGCTGAGCTGGGTTGGGCTGTGCGTTGGTGACTTCCATTGTCACAAAGATCACTGGCTGCAGGGGGAGGGGCAGCAGGGGCAAGGTCGGGACAGGGTGGCCATAGGCAGCCACCGCCATCATATGAATGAGAGGGGCCAGTGGCCGGGCCAGGGCCTGGCCATGGTGAAGGCTGAGGAGGGGGGAATTCCAGCACGAGTAAGAGGCAGCTTCCGGTTAACAGGCCCCCATGTGCCCCTCCCTTGTCCACCTCCGAGGCTTCCTGCTCGTGGCCAGCTGTGGGGGGGGGCGGCCTGGACTAGCTCGCAGGCGGCGTGGCAGACGCTGGGCTCGCTGTGCCGCCGGCTCTAGAAGCTACTGCATTTCAGCCAAGGCTCTTTCCCTGCTCAGAGCTGTCTCGGCATGAAGGCACCAGGGAGAGACGGTCACCCCACCTCAAGATGCCAGCTCAACCTGCCAGAGGATGCAGCCTGGGGCCCTTCCCGCTAAGCAGCCCTGCTTTGGCTTGGCCCCTTGTGCCTCCAATCAGGCCCTTCGGAGAGGAGGACAGGCTCCCTGCATCCCTGCCTAGGTGCCGCCCTGCAGTGCACAGGTACCCCCTCCTGTTCATGGTCCCCTTACCCCTCCCACCTCTTAGGAGCCACAGCTGGGACCGAATGGACCCAGAAGAGGGTCAAGTCAGGAAGCTGGCCGCTTGAGGGAAGGGACAGGAGCCGGGGCTGCTGGGAGAAGGGGGTCCTCCCTCCTGGGGTCCCCTCCTGCAGAGATTTCTGTAGCCCTTGGGCCAGAGGGCTGGAGATCCGGTGGCAGCCAGGGCTCTTGCCTCCACCCTTGCTGGACCAGGCTGCCTCTTCCAGAAGGACCATCATCATTGTTCTGGGGCCCACTGGGCCACACCGCCCCTCAGTCTCCCGGCTTCGCCCGCCCCCAGCCTGAGGGCTCCCTCTCCCAGCCCCCCAGCAGCGGGGGCTCTCCCGGCACGTTCTGGGGCAGGTGCTGAACTCAGGCTGGACAAGGCACAGGCAAGGTGGGGCTGCTTAGCCCCGCCAGGGGCTTCGGGACCAGGCTGGGGTGCAGGCGGCCCGGTGTTTGGACAGAGCCAGCTGGGCTCAGGAGTGAGCTGCGCTTCCGCCCGTGTGCTGCGGTGCTAAATATAGTGGCTAGGGAGGGGAGTTTCCGGTTACAGCCCCCCCTCCAATGCCGGGAAATTGATGCCAGTTCCATTAGGCCTAGCGGTGGTGCCTGCTGACCTGCCCATCAGGCTGCAGAGCCGAGTGAGGGGCTGGACTGCACCCAAGTCCAAGGGCTCTGTCCCCTGCCTCCTGCCCTGCCTTGCTCCCCAGAGCAGACCCCAGCCCCACGCAGTACCCACCAGAGGCCCCTCTGAGGCAGCGGGCAGTGCCTGCAGGCCAGCCTAGGAGGCCAGGGGAGCTCAGGATGTGGGCATCAGGCAGGCTGCAAGAGGGAGGCAGGGGGGCAGCTCTAGGCAGGGCAGAGCCCCTGTCCTGGGAATTCTCCAGATGGCCCAGGGCCCAGGGCAGCCCACTAGGCCTCCTCTGGACAGGCCGGAGCTGGGTTGCTCAGGACCCCACAGCAGCCCGCCAGCCCTGCGGCCCTTGGACACATCCCCCACACAGCAGTCACTCACCTGGCTGGGCTCCCAGGAGGCCCTACCTGGGTGGCCGCACCTGGGTCACAGCCGGCATTTGCATACAGGTGGTGCTGCTCAAATGGGCCCCCTGGGCACAGCTGCCTTGGGCAGCCTCAAAGGCCAGGCTCAGGGGCTGTGGGCACCGTGCCCCTCCCCACTGGGCTCAGCCACAAGCATTCCTTGGCCAGCAGGAAGGAAAGCAAACACCTGCCTGCCTGGGGTGGGGCAAGGGGACCTCAGTTCTGGTGAGGTGTCCCCACCTGCTCTCAGGGCAGCATCTCCTGGACACCTTGCCCTCCCCAGGAACAGTGGGTCATGACCCAGGCTGCCCCCATCTCATCCCTGAGGGCATCACCCAAGGGGCCGACTGGAGGATTTGGAGGGCTCTGGGGAGGGGCCAGGCCAGGTCACCACCCTCAAAAAGCATCAGGCCGGCCTACCCTCTAGGAAGCCTCACTGGCCCTCAGGCTAGGCCCCCATCCCTAATGGATGGCCCAGCAGCACCCACAAGTGCCCACAGCCATGGTGACCAGCACATACTCCTCACAGTGGGCTCCAGCCCACCCGCTGGATGGAGAGATCTTACTGGGTGCCTGGCTGAGTCGGCACTCAGCCCTCCTGTGACCCCAGATGCTCAAGGGTCATGGAGGGCAGCTCACGCAGTCCCTGACCCCCATGACAGGACAGTGTGCAGGGCTACACCGCATGAAGTCCAGTGGGCGGGGTGACACCCCAACACCAACACTCGGGGGCACAGGGGCTACTAAGGGTGCTGGCCCAGCCCTGGTCAGGGTGGGGACCCCTCCTCTGCCCAGAAGCGAGGAGCACACACCCTGTGGTGCGGTCTGCACCTGCTCCTGACACGGCTAGCTCAGCCGCCACTACCGTGGCCATAGCTCTGTCCGTGGCCCAGTGCCCAATGGGCCCTGAGCACTGGGCCTGAGTGAGTCCCCAACCTCTCCTGCCCCCAGAGGCGACACTCTGCCAGCCGCAATAGCTCCCTGCGTGGCCCGCAGCCCAGGCTTCTGCTCTGGTGGAGCTGGGGGTTCTCACGGAGACCCTACCATCCCTGCCTCCCAGCCTGCCCCGGCCACCACGCGAGGTCAGAGAACACAGGCTAGAGCTACACCAGCCTTTATTGGGTCAGCAGGGCAGGTGGCCAGACCAGCCCCATGCAGACCCCTTAGAGGCTCACTGGGGACCCAGGCCAGGGGCCACGCAGCTAAGAAACCACGAGATACCAAAGATGACACCAAGGGTCTTGGGAACATCTGGGTTGTCCGCAAAGGCCCGGGCGCCGTCCAGGGGCAGGTGCACAACCTCAATGAGCTCACCCTCCTCGGCCAGGCCCCCGCCCGGGCCACCCTGCTGGGCATCTGTCACCTCTGCATAGAACATGGTCTGGCTGGAGCCGGTCAGTCCCACGCCAGACCTACGGAAGGAGACAGCATCAGCTGAAGGCATCCACACAGGCCCTGCCGGCCACCCCTGCCCCTCCCACAGCCCTTCCCATCCCACCCCTTCAGGACACACCCCCACTGCCCTCTCTGACCCCCACCCCAGTGTACCCACCCCAGGTAATCCCCTCCCCTGGAGTGTGGGGGAAATCTGGTAATGTGTTGGATATGACTTCCCAACATGATTAGGTTCCCAACATGATCAGGAGAGGTCAGGTGATGAAGGTGGGAAATCCTGCAGATGTAGTTAAGGGCCCTAATCAGGTGACTTCAAGTTCGTCAAAAGGGAGATGATCCTGGATGGGCCTGGCCTAATCAGGTGAGCTCTTCTTTGAAGGTTTGGAGGTCAGAAATGGAAAAAATCAGACAGAGACAGATGCTATCCTGCTATTCTGAAGATAAAGCAGCCACCGTGCAGTGGAAGGGCCACGTGGCCAGGGCCTGGGGCGGCCTCTGGGAGCTGACCATGGTCCCTGGCTAACAGCCAGCCAGAAATGGGGCCCTCAGTCACACAGCCACGAGGAGCTGGATTCTGCCACAACTGCATGAGCTAGGAGGGTGGCCCTGAGCCCCAGGCTAGACCTCAGGCCCAGCCGATGCCTGACCGCAGCGCAGTGAGACGCTGAGCGGTGGGGGGACCCAGGGCCCCAGCCAGTGGACTGCCGCCCCGCACCCACCGTGAGGCTGTAAACACAGGCTGCTGAAAGCCGTGACTTCTCTGACGGGCTAGTCTGCAGCACAGACGCTCGCTCAGGCCCTGCCCCTTGGCTCGCTCTGGGACCTCAGCCAGGGCCTCTCCTCACAGTGGGCCCAGACTGACACCCAGGGCTCCAGACCGGCAGGAAGCCCACGTGGCCTGGGCCTGTGAGACCTCCCCCCACTGACACCTGCAGGACATCACTACCAGGCTGGGCGAGGGGCTGGGGCTCATGGAGGTGGGGGGCAGGATTGGGGTGAGGCCCTCAGGACGAGGCCCATGGTTCTTAGGCTGGACAAGGGTATAAAGGAGTCCCCTCCCTCAGTGGGTGGTGGCCAGGAGGGGGCTGCTGGCCACCAGGAGGGGACAGACACCAGGCAGAGGGCAGTGGCCCAGACTGGCACCAGTGGAAGGCAAGAGTGGGCAGCCGTGGCAACTGTCACCGTGAGAGCAGGGTGACGGAGGGGCCAGTATGGATTCCAGACCAGGAAGGGAAAGGAACCAGGGGGTGTCTGGGGGGATGTCTAGGGGTAAGTGAGACCCTGGGTTCCCAGGAGTTTGGCTGAGGCCAGCCGAAGCCTGCTGGGTGGGAGTCCCCCTTGGAGATGCGCCCAGCACACAGGCAAGGCGCGGAACCAAAGGGGCTTCCATCCCCCTCCCCCCAAGCCCCCCACCCGCAGGCGGGGCCCCCACACAGACTGACCTCACCCAGCTGCTTCCTCTGCCCTCCAGCCCCTTAATCTCCCTCAGACCCTTCCTGATGGCCCATTTCCGCCGGCGGCCACAGCCTGTGCCTTTGATGGAAGCGGCTAGTCTGTGGGGTTTCCAGGCCTAGTTTCCTCCGGCTTGTGAAGGAGGCAGGCGCTGAGAAGAACGTGCCCAGCCAGGCCTCTCCCTCTTCATTCAGACACGTCCTTTGTGAGGTGACCTCACACCAGCACCTGGGCCTTGTCACCTAGGACTGGCAGATGAGTGGCCTGGCTCACCTCGGAGGCCACTGAAGGAAGAGATGGGCTCTCCTACAGGGCAGCACGAGCAGTGCTGCTGGTCCAGCCCGCAGTCAGGATCCCGGAGAGAGTCAGGCTTCCTGACCTCCACTCCAGCTTCCCCACAGCGCCCTCACCTCTAAAACGCAGTCTGAGCCGCTGTTCCCTGTCTAGAACCTTCCTTGGCTCCCCAGTGCCCTCAGGATCAGGCTGTAGCCCCGAGGCCCTGCTTGTGGAACCACTGCAGCCGGGGCTGCTCGTCCCGTCACCCCCGAGTCTTTGGCAGGCAGCCCTTCTGCCAGGACTCACCTCGGGGGGACCCAACCCTCCACCTGCCTTCCTCCTTGCCTGCCCACTAGCTCACCCCCTGCCCCAGGTCAAACCCCATGGATTCTTCCTGCCCCCTGCACCTCAAGCCAGAAGGCTCAGGGGCCAAGCGGCCACTAGCTGGCCACACAAAGGACGCCTGCAGATAACTGAGGGCCCTCGCATCATGATGTCTGGCCCTTTGGTGTGGAAATGCCACATGTGATATAGAGGCCCCAGACCCTGGCCCACCTCCTTCCCAGGACTGAAACCCACCCCGAGGCTGAGGACACCTGGAAAAGGCCTGGGCATTGCTGAGGCAGGGAGCCCCAGGCCCAGCACTGAGTGGCCCCTGTGCTGCACCGAGAGAAGGCAGACTCTCCAAGGCCCCCTCTGTCTCTGGAGAAGGCGGCCAGGAGCTGGTGCTCAGTGTTGGGGGGACACTGTGAGACCCTGCGAGACCCTGGTCCTGCTGGATTTCACTGGGGTTGGGGACCCACTGCAGCATCCCAAGGGCAAGGGGGACTTCACCCCAACACCCTGTCCTGGGAAGACGGCCCCAGCTGCGAGCCTCGTGGGGAGAGTGAGTGGCAGTTGGGCACCTGGGCTTGGTGGGGGCAGGCCCTGAAGTCCAGGCTTCAGGCCACACTCGTCCCCCATCCCCGGGAGTGCCGGAGCCCCCAGCCCCAACCCTGAGCCACCTTTAGAGCAGATCTGTGACTCACCCCACCCCCAGCGCCCGGTGCTTAATCCCACAGGAAGCAGAGGCATCTGTTAGCAGCAGCTGCCACCAGGACCCAGCCCCACGCGGCTAGGTGGGGGCATGGGGCCGGGCATGCTGCAAAAGTGCCCCGAGAGCCCCAGGTTCCGGCCTGCATCACAATCTGAAGTGCATCCAACCCTCTCCCAGCCCCACACTGAACAACAAGGAGGAATCACCCTGCTTGCACATCCCTGGGGATGGGGTGCTCACTCCCTCCCAGGAAGCCTGCCCCATCACCCTGGGCTGCACAGACGGCAGGATGCCCAGCCCCACTCACTTGTACGTAGCAACCCGGCGCAGGTCAGAGGGGGTCAGCTGGTAGCCGCACTCCTCCCAAGCTTCCTTGCAGGCCACTTCCTCCAGCGAGAGCCCAGGTTGGTCCACGAGGCCAGCACACAGCTCATACGTCACCCCTGCCGAGCCAGGCAGTGCCACCTGCAGCTCCTGGGGCCCGTCCTGGTCCACGGCAGCCAGGGACCCTGGGAAGAGGCGCTCCACCTCACCGGCATACACAGCTGGTTGCGAGGAGGGCAGACCATGGTCACACCTGTGTGGTGGCCACCTCTAGGTGACCCACTCTGGGCCAGACCCCCTGGCCAGGCCCCAGTTTCCTCTAGAGCTCTCCCCCTGCATCTGCATTCTGACCCGAGGACCACAGGGGCCTGAAGGTGACTCTGCAGGTGTCCCTTCCCCCACACCTCACTCTGGCCGCCTCACCTGGTCGGAACTGTTTCACCAACACCAGGCTCCTCCGAGAAGAGTTGAACATGAGAATGGTTACACTGCGAAGTGAGGGCTGAGCTCAGCACAGAAGCAACCCATCACCTCACCTCCCTGGGGGCCCCGGCTGCCGGCCTCCTGGGCCCGGTCCGCCTAGCCCACTTCCTCTCCTCAACAGCCCAGGAATGTTGGGCCCCTTGCTCAGATGGGGAGACTGAGGCCCCAGTGAGGTCAGAGGGCATAAGGGTTACACAGTCAGACTAGGACCCAGGCCGACTGTACTCCAGCTGGTAGGATGGGGTTGGGGAGGGTGGAGGACATGTCGGGCAGCTGGGCAGGCCGGGGGTGGCAGCAGCTGAGGATAGGTGACTGATGGGACATGTGGCCCTTGTTGGCCAGAGGCTGCCAGCCACACTCCTGAATCCACGTTGCCATCTGGCCACACTCTCGATGCTCGGGGTCACAGGCACCTGGATGGCCTAAGTTCCAAGAGGGCCTGCCCACCATCATGGTCCAGGAGGCCTGGGCTGGGACCTAGCCCAGTCTCCAGGCCTTGGGCAGACCCCTCAGTGAGAGGACAGGGAGTGGGGACACTCAGAATGCAGGTGCAAGGTGGGGCTCTGTGCCCCTGGGCCCCAGTCTCCCCAGGGGCCAGCCAGGCTGGGCCCTCACCTGTCGTGGGTCTTCATGAAGTCCCATGACTTCTGGGTGCCATTCTGAAAGAGGCAAGGCAGTGGTCAGGGTGGGCTGAAGGGCTGCCAGCACAGGCGGAGGTGCCCCAGGGAGCTGAAAATGCCACTCAGCTCTGCCACACCGGCTCCTCCCGGGGAGACCCAGTCAGGGCCTGGGGCCGTCAGAAGCCAGGAGCTGCAGCAGGTGAGGGGAGGGGGGCGCCCAGGCTGGCCAGGGAGGTCAAGGACAGCCTGATGCTCTCAAGAGGGAGGCAGAAAACCAGGGCAAAGGGTGGGAAGGTGTCCCAGGCACAGCAACGAGCCACCACCCAGCACAGGGTGAGCACCGGGAGATGCAAAGAAATGTACACCGTCACCAAGTGTGGGAAGGACCCTGGGGGTACGGGGGTAGGGTGGGCACGACTCATCCTCACAGTCAGGGCAGGGGGTCCCAAGCAAGTAAAGCAAACATCAGGTTTTCACTGCTGAAGCTCCCCTGGGCCACTGGACAAAGGGAGAGGGGAGGGCAGGACGGGCGGGCAGGCCTCCCCAGAGGGCACCAGCTCCAGGAGCAGCTGGAGAAGGGCGCGCCTGAGCCGGGGAGACCACACCGCGGGACCCGGTGACTCAGTGATGCCAACTGGACAGTGGGGTAACCCCTTCCCCAGCCCACTTTCTGTCTTGGGCTGTCTCTGCTGCATCCTGTGGTCCTGCTGTTGGGTCACTTCCCCTGACATCCTGCTCCTCCACGCTGGGCGCCCTGTTGCCTTGGGCTCCCAGGGCTTCAGGCAGCATTCATCGGATGAAAGGCAGTGCGGGGCAGAGGCCTGGACGGGGACTATTGGGGCAGCCAGACTGACACTAAGGACGTTCCAGCAGGCAGTGGGTAGGAGGGGTCAGAATCCTGCCAGCGGGACACCACTGTTGGAGGCGGGCTCCCACTCTCCGGGCTACTCCACCTGGTCCCGACCCCTCCCCAAGGGGTCTCTGAAGATGAGGCTGGCCGCACGGCCCTGGAGCCCTGCCCTCTGACTGTCCATCGCCAGCATGCTCAGCCTACCTGCCCCTCAGCCCCTGGGTCAGCCCTGCGGCCCTGGCGAGCTCCTGGCCCACACGTGGGGCCCCGTTCAAGCCATGAAATGGGCGTGGACCTGAGAACCTGAGACACAGAGTGCAGCCAGGGCTGCAGAAAAGGGAGGACACTAAGGCACAGACTCTGTGAGGACTTCCTAGAGGAGGTGACACTGCTCCGGGCCCCACAGAAGAGAAGAAAAGGCATTCCAGGCAATGGAACCTGACACCCAGAGGCCCACATGTTAGTCTGAGGGAAGCTGGGAAAATTGGTCTGAGCCTGGCCGGGAGACAGAGGCATCCTGGATGGCCAGCAGCCTCGGTTTCCAAGGTGGAGGGGGAGCCAACATCCTGTGGTGTGCAGGCCGGGCTGCCTGGGAGGCTGTTGTGAAGCGCCACCTTCGAGAGGCAGGCCTGGGCCTGCCTGCAACCCGGTCACCCCAGGGCCAGCCTCCCACCCGGACAGGCTCCAGGGAAGCCTGACCCCCCAGTATGTCACGTGCCTGCTGTGTCCCCGTCTCCCTCAGGGTGCATGTCACCCTGTGTGAGTTTTAGAGACCCTCTCAGCTCACAATCAAAACATCTGTCAGACCTTTAGCTCCAGCCAAGGCGGGGCACAAGGGAAGGTCCAGAGAGGCCCACTGAGGCCCAGACAGCCCCTCCAAAAGGACCCCCGCCCAGCTGGTCAGGCCCCGGGCCTGGCTCATCCTCCGGGCCCTGGGAGGAAGGAACAGGACTGCAGTGCAAAACAGACCCAAGACCCCAGACCTCAGAGCCAAAGGGGCATCCTGCCTACTGTCGGTCTGTCTGTCCATCCACCTTATCTCCCCTGGCCACAGGTTGCTAACGGCCCAAAGCTGCAGATGGCCCTTGGTGGTATGCACTGCCCTGTCCAGTGACCCGCAGCCCCGAAGGATTGCTGGCCTGCCCTCCAGCCCGTGCCCACCACAGCCCGCCGCCTGCAGGAGCAGAGCTTCGGGTGCCAGGACCCATCTGCACCTCACAGGGAGTGGGGAAGAGTGCCGCGGCCGAGGGCCAGAGTAGCCACACACCTGGACCGCTGGGTGCCCACCTGCTGCCCCAGAGGCCCAGCGCCTGGAGGATATGCAACCAATGCGGGCATCCCCGCCCCAGGCCAGCACCAGGGCAAGGGCAGCGACCTCCACGTCCCTACACTCTGCCCCTCAGCTGACCCTGGCTTCTGCCCTAGGCCAGCGCTGCCAACTTGGGTCCACGCCGGGGACAGGAATTCCCTGGCCCCTGGAGCCAACAGGGGTACAGCAACAAGGAGAGTGGGGGTTCAGCTTCCCTCAGACTGGAGGCCAAGAGGGCTCCATGCATTGGCGAGAGGAAGGGGTCTAGGGAGGAAGGGGAAACGGGATGCCGCAGCCCAAGGGAACCAAAGTCCTGGACCACCTGTACTGACTGCGGGGGCATGGAGGGGCGCATCAGGCGTGGCGGGAGCAGTCTCCTCCTGGATGGCGCGGAGGAACTCCAGCAGGACACCACGCGCGGGGGCAGGTGGAGCCGCTAGTAGAAGGTCTGGGCCCGAAGTGGAAGAGCCGCTTCTTCACCAACAACTGTTCCCTGTTAGCCTGCTATATGCACGCACCTCCCAGCGACGGGCAGGAGGAGGTGACGCCCTGGGAGCCAGCCTGCCAGTAGGAGGTACCCTCGGGAGGAAGCCCACCTAGAGAGGCTCTGCAGTGCTCAGCGGCTCTCTCTCCAGCCTCCTCCCTCCACTCTCCTTCTTCCGCTGCCCAGAATGGAGACCACCACCTCCAGGGAGCTTTCCCTGATCTCGGGGCCGCCCAATTCGTCCCATCGCAAAAAGGGCCAAGGTCCAGTAAAACCTCCTTGGGAGAATGAGCGGTCTCCCTTCTCCCGGAGAGGTCCCTTCCCGGACCCTCCCCGACTCGGGCGTTCCACAGGTTTTCCAACCTGGCCCCACCCGCAGAGCGCTCAGAGGGGAGGCGGGGCCCCGCGGGGCGGGACCACAAGGCAGTGGGCGGGCCGAGGGACGGGCCGAGGGGCGGGTGGGCGGGTCTCCGGAGTCCGGGACGAAGCTCCGGGGCCCGGGCCGGGGGCGGGGCTCCCGAGCCGGGTGAAGGCCGCGGAAGGCGCGGAAGGCGCGGCAGGCGCGGCAGGCGGGCGGGCGGGCTCACCTGGCGGTAGTGCAGCGTGAGCGGCTGCAGGTAGGGCGAGGCTGCGCAGCGGCCCACGGCCGCCCCCTCGATGTGCTCCATGGCGGCGCGCGGGGCAGCCGGGCCCGGGGCGGACGCGGGCAGGGTCCGCGCGGGACTAGAGCGGGCGGGCGCGTGACCGGGCTCTGGGCATGCCCAGTGCGCGCGGGGCGGGACGGGACGGGCGGCTCGGCGGAAACCAGCGGGCCCAGCGCGCAGGTAGCACCTGCCTGCAGGTGGGGCGCTGGTGGCTGCGGGGCGCTCCCGGAGCCGCGCAGGGTGTGAGCAGGGCGGGGGCTCGCCAAATGGACCCCGCGGCAGGGTGGGGGCCAGCCGAGTGTGCGGCCGGGCTGGGCGGGCACGACTGGAGGGGACGGGCCTGAGAGGTGATCGCTGGAACTTAGTTGGGAGAGAGATCGCTGCGCGGTGCAGCTTGCGGGGTGGGGGTGGGGGGGCGTGGGGATGAGCCGAGAGGATGCCTCCCCCACCGCGGTTGAGCACATTACAAGATTGGTCATTAAGGGGTGGGGACAGTCCTCGAGGGAAAGGGCGACTAAGCCCTGAAGAGAGAAGCTGGCGGTCATAGCTGCCTAGTGGAGCCAGCGAGAGGAGGAGAGAAGAGGTGGACTTGGGGCTGCGCGCACGGTCACTGCGTGGACGTTGAGGGGGGTGGCTGGGGAGAGTCTACACTCCTCTAGGGAGCCCCGGGTGAGAGGAGAGCGAGCGATGGAAAGAGGGCCTGGCCAGAGGAGCCTGAGTGGGGGCTGGGGGAGGGGCCAGGGCCTAGGCAGAGCCAGGCCCTCCCCTCCCGGTTCCTGGGGGCTGAGAGGAGTTGGCTCCAGCTGGACTGTCCACCTGCCCCACCTGCCCCACCGGGAGGAGCTGCCTCTCCCCATCTCTGGGGCTGTCCCTCCTCCACCTCAGGAGCCAGCTGCTGTTCCCGCCCACGAGAAGTCCCGCCCCACACTTTCTTGGGTGTGGATCCCAAGACCCCCTCCAGATGCGGTCGCTGCCACCACCCAGGGGCAGGCGCACATGCTAGGGTCGGGCAACTGGGCCCTGACCTGGCCTGCTCCCTGGACTGTGGCCCTGGGGAGGGTAGCCCAGGTGGGGCTGGCCATGTGGCCTTAAAATTAACTCCGTGTCCCCATTGTCTACTGCTGTGTGACAGAGCACCCTGAGATTTCATGGCTGAAAGCTCCCATCTGTTCCTCTCTCTCCGGGTCTGGGGATGGCCCTGGCTCAGCTGGGCAGCCCCCCTTGGGTTTCTCTGGGGTGCTATCAGGTGGCAGCTGGGGTGGAGTCTTCTGAAGGCTGAGCGGGATGCCCGTCCAGGATGCGTTCTTCGCCCCTAGCCTGGTGCGTTAGCTGGCTGGCTGGAACAGCTGTGGCTGGCTGGCTGGCTCCCTGTGTGCGGCCTCTCCATGTGGCTGGCCGGGGCTTGCTCGAGCATGGCGGTCTCAGAGCAGCGGGGTTCTTCCGTGGCGGCTTCTCCGGCACATGATACATGGACCGGGGGCCAAGCCTCTCATGACCAGCCCCAGGTGCCCGATGGCATCATTACTTCTGCATCCAAAGGGCCAGAAAGTAAGTCCCCGCCACCCCAGATTCCAGGGGAGGGGACTTCCCAAGGACAGGGGACTTGGGACGCATGGTCATAGGGGCATCATAAGAGACTAGCCATCACCCCCTGTGACTCTGTAGGGACGTGTGCTCCCCGGCCTTGGCCTGGCCAGAGTGTGCTGGGGCCAGAGAGACCACCCACCAGAGAGCCCATCCCAGAAGATGGGCCCACCCCAGACACGTGTGGCCTGGGGGTGGCTCCCTCCCTCAAGCACAAGCCACTTCCTTCAAGGACAAATCACAAAGCTGGCATAGCAGTGGCCCAGACCACGGAGGAGCCATAAGGAATACTGCTCCCAGCCCCTCAGCCCCCAGAAGCTCCGGCTCGGAGCATCTGGGAAAAGTCAGCACGTCCACAGAGCAGTGTTTTGCCCACATTTGGGGGGAAGTAACATTTGACGTTCATGCAGGCTGAGGCAGCTTGCGATGTAGTCTGCGGAACGTGTGTGCTTCAAAGTAGCAGCCAGGTGCCACCCCTGCAGGAAACAGCCTGGTAGGGCCTCGGGCAGGTAAACTAGAGTCACCATGTGACCCAGCAGTCCCACTCCCAGGTGTCCTCCCACAGAACTGAAGATGGCCTCAAACAGATACTTTTACTCTGCACAAGAGCAGGAAGGTGGCAGCCACCCAAGGGTCCATCCAGTGCTGAGCAGATTAACAAAATGTGGTCTAGCCAGACACTGGAATATTATGCAGCCATAAAAAGGAATGAGATTCTGACATGTGCTACCACATGAATGAACCTTAAAGACTGAGTGAAAGAAGCCAAACACAGAAGGTCACCTATTGTATGATCCATTTATGTGAAGTGTCCAGAGTAAGTAAATCCACGGAGACAGCAGATTAGGGGTTGCCAAGGGCCAGGGGTGGGGAGTGATTGCTTAATGGGGACAGTGACAAAAACATTCTTAGACAAGAGGTGATGCTTGCACAATGTTGTGAATGTACTAAAGGCCTCTGAAGCCTCCAAGGTGAAATGGTTAAGGTGATGTGGATTTTAGTTCAACTTTTTTTTAAGGAAAAGTGTATCAGTGAGACCCTTCAGGGATGTTTCATGCCACCTCCGGCCACCCAGCCCCATCTTCCCACACACCCTGGGACCCGTCATGGTAGGTCTAACTGTGGACCTGGGGCAGGAGGTGCAGTGCAGCGTCTCCGGTGAGGCCATAGTCAGACACAGGAAGCAGGGAAAAGACAAAGGAGTCCACCCGTTTTTCCAGAGTGCCTGCTGTGTGCCGGGCAGCTTGGGGCGGGGGCTCAGAGGGCTTCGGGGAGAGGAGGGCTGGGCCGTGGGGTGGCCCTGCTGAGAAGGTGCTGTTCCCAGACACCTGAGAATGAAGGAGGAGGATAGGATGGAAGAGGGGTCCATGGTGCTGGGGCAGCCGGCAGGGCTGTGCTGGGCCCTCTCACAGGGCACTGGGGGCCATGGAAGACTCCAGGCAGGGGCATGGTGGTCAGGCCGTGCCTCTCTGAGGTCACTGTGGCTGCCTGGGCCAGGGAGAGTAGGAGACCTTCAGAGGGGCTTTGGCCGTTGTACAGAGTGGTGGCCATGTAGGTGGGTGACCTCGGGCCCTTCGGGAGCAGGTGCAGAGGAGGAGCCTGCGTGGAGGGCCACTCTCCGGGGGAAGGGGGACTTGGTGGACACCAGGGGGCCCTCTGGGAAGCCACCTCTGGATCTGGGAATGTGGAGGCTTTGAGATCCTGCTGAGACCTGGGTGTCAGGGCCCCAGCACTGCCAAAACAGCCACCTAGACTTGGTGGCTTGAAGCAGCACAGATGTCACCCGACAGCTCTGAGGACAGAAGCCCAACGCAGCCTCACTGCGCTAAAGCCAAGATGTGCCTAGGGTTGCAAGCCTGCTGGGGGGGGACTCCGTTCCCGGCCTTTTCCAGCCTTTTGAGGCAGTGGCCCCCCGCCCGTCCTCGTCTTCACGGCAGCAGCACCTCAGCCCTGTTCTGCTGCCTTGTTTCCTCTGCTCTGACCCACCTACTTTCCCCCATAAGGACCCCCTGTCGACGCTGGCCCCCCTCTGTCCGCCAGGATCCCCCATCTCCGGTCCTTCACAGAGTCTCGTCTCGGCCATGCAAGGTTTCACGTTCCCAGGTTCCGGGGATCACGGTGTGGACATGGGGAGGGCAGGGGGAGGCATCCCGGGAGCCGGTGGGATCCTGTGGGAGGGGTCTGCTGACTCCCTTTTCTCTGGTCGTCTGTCCAGACCAGGGTGGGAGGAGTGGGTGGCTGCACGTGGTCCCAAAGGGGTTGGGGTCCCGGTAGCCTGGTGCCTGGGGCTTCCTGGTGGCGCCAGGCTGGAGGATGCCCTCGGGCAGTGCCCAGAAGCCTGGGCAGGCGGATAGGTGGATGTTGGCTTCCTTCCTTCCTTCCCCAGAGTGAGTGGTGGGCAGCCCGTGGGTCCAGAGAGATGAGGATGCTAGTTCCTGATGTGACAGACCCCAGGGATGAAGGGCAGCAGGAGCCTGGGAGGAAGCAGGGGAGTCAGAGGCTAGGAGTCCACAGCAGGCAGAGAACTAATGCCCAGACACAGGCTGAGCCAGAGGGGACACGGAGGGTCAAGGCCAGGGCCGTGGGCATGGAGTCCAGGCGCTGGTGGCAGGAGGGGTGCAGGGGACGCCTGAGGACGGGCCCAGAGTGAGGGGTTGGGCAGGACGCCAGGGGTGACAGCGGTGAGCTGTAGGGGTCCATGGACATCCCAGAGGAGGAATGATACCTCACAGGCAGGGAGCCAGGGGAGGAGGAGCGTGCATGGGGCGGCTGGCAGGGGCCGGACTGGGGCCACCTGGTTACGGACGACAGGCTGCCCTGAAAATGGGGGGTGAGTCGTAACTTCTGCGTCCCTGCAGCAGGGGGCAGAGGGCAGCTAGGCTGGGCGCCGAGGTCTGCTTTGCTAAGCGAAGGGGCTGAGGACCCCAGTACAGCAGGGCCACCTTCTGGGGACCTCGGGGGTGCCAGGGGCAGCAGCAGGGAGCGGAGGCCACACAAAACCCGTGATTCTGCTGGGCGCCGAGAGGAGCCTTTTCTTTTCAACTGAGTTAGGGAACTTTGGTGGGGGGTGGGTGTTTTTTGCGGGTGGTGGTTTGGGTTTGGGTGTTTTGCATATTTTTTTTTTAATGAAGGTACTGGGGATTGAACCCAGGACCTTGTGCATCTAAGCCTGCGTTCTACCACTGAGCTATACCCTTCCCCTGTTTTGATTTTTTTTTCAGTTAATTTTAATTTCTGTCAAAGTGATGCACGCACATGGCAACAGGAAAAAGAAAAATGTTAAATATTAGCACAAGATGCATACCCAGAACTGCTAGTCCCTGGCCCACCCATCTCCACACCTCGGCCCCCAGAGGTGGCCACTGTCAACCCTTCAGGCTGTGCTTCTGGTGGGTCCCTCCAGGTGTGTGCTCGCGCAGCTGTTTCTGGATTTATTGGTGGTAGCGTTTTCCCTCTGCCTGCAGTGTGGTCAGGCAAGCTCAGCCACAGGCTGCCAGGAGAGCCACCTCCAATAGTTCAGACAGCTCGGGGTTGGCAGTCTCACACGAGAAATCTGGAAGGACGAGGCCCTGGAGCTGTCCATAGAGCACCTCCCCCATGCATGGCAGTTCAGCCCCCTACTCAGCCTCAGGATCACA